AAATGAGTTGCTTCCCAGTTCGCTTTGCCTTTACACTCCACCACGTTTTCCGGTGCAATATCATCTGCACCTCCTAATGCCTCGATTCAATCCCTAGAACTGTTCTCTCTGGGCCAAGGGTCTTGGGAGCTTCGGAATTCTCGGTCACGACTCGAGCTTGAGCGAAATTGAAGGGTACCAGCCTTACACATCAACAGAATTCATTTGAGAGGACAAGCATCAGGTGGACTTTCTGGTGTGGGTGTCATGCAAAACCACTACGTAGGATTCACTACGCTTGGACCCCCGGACAGGCTGTGATACTAAGCCGGCGACTCTCTGATGCCCAAACCCCAGTCCAGTCCAACCTGATAGCAGGATCGTATGGAGTTGTGAAAACATGGCCGCCAAATCCGTATTTTACCTGTGTGGTGGTTTCGCCCCCCCAAAAATATTCAATGCATTTCAAACCACAAGCCCCTCCAGCCTTGTCTTCAATGCTAGTTGAACAAGCTAGTTGTACATAACATCAAAACATATCAAAACCATGAAATGTATTGATAGTTGAGTGTTGAGCGTATTCTGTCTGCAAAGGACCAGCCCCATCCAGGCTTGGGCCCCATGATCTGACCAAGGAACGTCCCAGAGAAAGGCATAAAGTGTGGCGATGGTTGACACCTCAATGAGATACGATGAAAGATATGAAAGCCGCGTGGAGGTAAAAGGTGTGATATCGCTGATTTAAAATATGGGCGTGTGCAACCTTGATAGGCGATGCGGCATATATAATGAGCCATAGTGAATTTGCACACACACACACAAAAAGAACACAGAAACGATACAGCCCCAAGGATCCCCATGGATTCTTGAATTCTGAAACTCTAGTTAAACCAACTTTCCACGGCCAGGCATTCATCATCCAGGCAACTGTCACCAACAGAGTGGTGTTGTCGCAGCGTGAGACTACAACCACGAGCAGGCTGCAAAGGTACTTGCCCAAGTTCCTTGGAAGTCCAAGCGGGCAGCGGCCAGCCATAGCACTCAGCTTGCGGAACCACATGGAATAGTGGTACCAACACCAGTGGAGCAGAGCAAACTGGACCAATAGATTCTGACACCATGTCACTGCATACAATTACTAACAAATAAAATCAAATGAAGCCAAATATCAAATATCATATGTCATATATCCAAAAAAGCTTCGGTGGTATCCCCAACAGCTGCAATGTATTTTTACATTTTTTTTCTGCCACCTTCTCCTGGCCCTGCACCAATTCCCAAAACCTTTCCCGGATCTTTTCTGCAACCTTCTCCAAAACCCATTGACCCTGAGCTCCGGAACCCTGTTGAACCTGACCTGGCGCTCTACACCATAATTTCCCAGACCTTCTCCGGAACCTTCTCCGGAACCCTGTTGAACCTGACCTGGCTCTGCACCAAAGCCTCCCAGACCTTCTCTGGAAGCTTCTCCGGAACCTTCTCCAGAAGCCTGTTGAACCTGACCTGGCTCTGCACCAAAGCCCGAACCTTCGGAACCTTCTCGGGAAGTTCGTTGAACCTGACCCGGCGCCTGCACCAGTGCACACTGGAGCTATTCTGGGCTGAAGACCCCATTAGCTTAGGCTGTTGGGGAATAAATATCATATCACACACACACACATATATATATATATATATACACGTATATATATATATATATACGTATGACATATGTATATACACATAGTTGTGTATGTATTTATGTATTTATGTATTTATGTATTTATGTATTTATGTATCTTTGTATTTATTTAGGTGTTTCCGTATTTCCGTATCTACGTATCTAGGTATGTATGTATGTATGGATGGATGGATGGATGGATGTATGTAATGGATATATGTATGTATGTATGCATGTATGAATGTATGTATGCATGTATATGTATATGTATATATCTATATGTATATGTATATCTATATGTATATGTACATGTACATGTACATGTATATGTATATGTATATGTATATGTATATGAGTGTCGGTGTGTGCGTGCGAGCGTGTGTATGTGTGTATGTATGTATGAATGTATGTCTGTCTGTCTGACTGTCTGTCCGTGCATGTATGCATAACGACATGTATTATAGAGTATTATGGGTACATATATATATATAATATATATATATTATATCATGAATATACATATACATGAATGGGAAAGGGCAAAGAGGGCAAACATAACATATGGCACTTTTCCCCTTGATTTTGCATAATTACGCAAGAAATCACGTCATGCCCAATAACAAATCCGGTGTTTTGGTCGTACAGTTGTCAATGCCCCAAACCTAATGACTTTGGGTAGATGAGAGGTGGTTTAATGGCATTTCCTTTGCAAATCCAACACAATGCGACAGCATTCTCTACTGATAGCCGCGCTGCCAGAGGTGTTTGCACTCCTTCGTGTCGATGTAACGTCGTGTGCATTGCCCCGCACGGAAAAAGAATGGCAAGCCCGCCAGTAAAGGAACTATCAATCCTCAGCCCAGTCTGGCCAAGTCTGACCAGCAGCTTTTGCAGAACCGACTCTTGCATCCTTGGAATGGACATTGCACATTCTTGGACTTTTCCGAGGCTTAAAACACATGTAAGCACAGTCTGAACTTCAGCCAAGCAGCCGTGTGTGGTTGCACCTCATTGTGACGGCAACCTGTATGTTCTGATGAACAATGCCCTGCCTGACTTACTGGTAAAATCATGCCAGACGTTGCCAACCCCAAGTAGCTCTATGAGGCCACTCCAACAAGACAAAGCAGTGCAGCCACGTGACTGCAGCTGTCCCCATTCCTTGGCTGAAAAAAATATGGCATCGACATCTCTGAGTGGGTCACCAGATTTTATGCTTGGACATGTGCCACGGACTGGATATTTGCCCAACTGATTTCAACCCATTATTGGAATGAAAGTAAACTGGCATCATCCATGATCATCCTCCATATTGCGGCGAGACATCACCAAATGTTGAAACATGTTGAAACTACCAACCAATCAACCTCTCCAGTCCCCTCCTACCCTTATGCAAGACCAACATTTGATACATTTCGCATCATTTCACCCAAAGCTCCTGATGAAGCTCTGCACCAGCTCCTCCTCTTGCGGATGATGTGACAGCAAATAGCATACCGCTGCCGGGACATCCTAACGCAAAGCCGTGGAGTATCGCGGAGTGGTTTTGGAGTGGATCTTTCCACTGAAACTGGTCATGGATCGGCCTCCAAGGGCTTGGCAATGCTGGTCCTTGGGGTAAAACGAGACACACATAGACACACCATTCACATCCATTCACATCCATTCGCACCATGAAAAAAATCAACAGAAGCTTCCGCTAGAATATGCATCAACAATCATCAACTTCAATCAGAAGGAAACTGGCAAACACCGCCTTTCCAATCCTTTCCATCGATTCAGGGACATGTACTTTTTCATGGGTCTAAACACTCTGAGAGTCATCACGTCTCCAACCATGTTGTCTGCGAAATCGACGGGAAAGAATGGGGCCATGGCAGTTCTTCGTACCTCTGGAACTGCACCAGGCGTTGAAAATGTTGGAAAGGCAAACATGCCCCCGAATGAATAGACCAATCCGAAGCGTCACTCGTGAAGCTTTGATTGTTTCACTTACCTTTTGAAAGTGCAATAACAAGTCACCTTATACCTTGCCACACCACTCCCAAATTTGCCAAAGTAGCCCCTCACAGAATAGTCACAAGGCCCGAGTACTGTGGCGCACACAAACATGACCATCTAGTCCGTCATGCACACACACACACACTCACACAAACACATTCCCAACATAATATGCCAGTATATACCAGTACCATTCCATTGCATGCACAAATACGTGCAAAGGTAACATGTACAGAGCCCTCTCCAGTGATTTCTACCTGTTTGTTCTACCGGTACTTTGTGGCACTCTGCGTTGCTTTGCCAGTGCGTCGGCGTATTTACATTGCCGCTCCCTCTATCTCTCTCGATTTACGTCTATCCGTTCTGCTGAGGCACGGATCGCACTATGGCCAGCTTGTACCTCCATGAAGGCGCAGAGCCAATCGATTCACGTTGGCAAAAATCTGTATATAATACACAACCGTCACGGATATATATATATATACATACATGTATGTATATATGTATATATATATATGTGTGTATGTGTGTATGTGTGTATGCATGTAGGCAGGCATGTACGCATGTACGCGTGTAGGCATGTATGCATGTAGGCATGCATGCATGCATGCATGCAGGCGTACGTACGTACGTACGTACGTACGTATGTATGTATATATCTATATCTGGATACACCTAATATGCTCCCTCTTTGAAGGCCCGCAACCTAGCGGCTAGTGCTTCTGGCTAAAAGAACCCCCCAAGCAAGTGCGATGTATATACGACTCTGTGAAGACCTATCCCATTTAATCATTGAGGCAACATAATGATCATAGTGAACCAATGGATACCAATGGCCTGTTTGTTTCATGACACACGCATCCACAACTTGTTTTTTGTGTGCAAGGCGTTAAGCCCGGCCGGATTTCAGGGTCGACTGACCCCTCGTCTGAACTGACGTGTCACTTTGTGATGTCATAGGTAACACTGACAAAGTCAATAACCATAGTTGTTGCCAAAATGGGATACTTCAGTTTGATTATATATATATATATCTGTCTATATATATTTTTCACGTGATTCCAGTTTCACTAATGAAAGCCATTACATCCAACCAGCATTCTTGTTGCAAGCATGTAAGAAATCACACAACACCTTCTTGCCCGGAAGCCCTTTGTCAGTGTCTAAAATGAATTAGGGCAGTAGCGCTGAAAATCCAGCTACTCCCAACCAACCCCTGGCAGGGGTGTTGGGAGTACTGAAAGCGGCAATGGTGTCCAAAAAACAAATCCTTCAAACCAAGTGAACATCCGTAATCATGAGAACTTAGCTTTTCTGGCATCAATTTAGAGCCAGAGTTGTGTGGCTGCTGTTCACTGGGCTACTCAAAGTCCCCCAGAACTCCAGCTGGTGCTTGCGCAATTTCCTCTGACGTCTCCCGGAGACCTGCGAAGTTGGAATCCAACATAAAGGCCAAGAGCCGAAAAAATCCGTTGCAATCCACCAAATAAGCTCGCTCGTGGACAGGCAGTCCATTCTGAGGATCCAAGATCATCTTGCCCTGCAAAAATAAGGTCTCAAGGACAGCACGGGTAGGAGAGGAATTTTGACAAGGCAACCGGCCCCCAAACTAGGTCCTTTCCACTCTGTGGCGGAGGAAGGAAAAAATGCAGTAACACGAACAGATCAGCAACACAATTCGCAGCCTTGTCCTCCTGAAAGCTATTGTCATGTGATGAAGTACCATGGTTATGATTGGTAGTCGAAGCAATAGCCAAAACTTGGTGACCCCTTACATCCACTTTTCATCACTTTTCTAGTGCAGTCCCTTTGCCTTCAGCTGCTTCATGTGAGTAGGCGTGATGGGCACTCCGAGCTGTCTGAACAGAAGCTCCAGGGTGTCAAAGGACAGCTTCAACTCCTCGGGTGAAAGGTGGGGAGTTATGACATCTGTACCATCAGAATTGGGCATGAAGATCCGTATCTACAAGCCGAAATCCTTTTTCTTCCTCTCTCTTTCTCTCTCTAAGCTATTTTGATGTGAAAACCGGCAACGCGATTCCATTTTCTTGTTGATACATACCAGAAAATATTTGAGAAAACCTGTTTCTAGTAAGCTGATGGGATTGATACATTTGCTCAAAACAACTCCAATTTGGCTGATGGCAGTTAAATTCAATTTCAGCGCTTTTGGCGTGACTTCTGTGCATGGTATTATGCAACAACCATCTCTTGCCTGGCTGGGATCACAACCCTGTGAGATTCCAAACTCATAAACGTACTCAGTATACTCAGTGACCAGAATGTCCAAGAATCTGAATCATCCATTGTGTCAATATCGCCACTGTTTACGCGGATGTCGTCAGCAAAGTCCAACGCAAATTTCTTCATGTCATCCAGAAAGACAGCCTTGCCCAGTCGAGCAGGGCTAGCCTTACTCTGGTGTTCTGTAGCCCTGCAAAGTGTCACAACATTTTGGTTTTGGAATGTTTTCTATAGTCTACACATGTCACATGTCTATACTAGTCTTTTCTTGATTATGTTCATTCGTGAGGAGCTTGGGCTCTCCCTACCCTCGCACATCCGGAAAATCTCCTAGCACAGGGGACCATTTATGGAGCATCATTGACCGGACCCCGCCACAGGTCGTATCTTTCTCCAATTCCAGTGTGTGCAACAGCGTTTCTATGCGCTTCTAGCTTACGTTTGCAAACACGATAGTCAATATCCAAGTCAAACATCGCACGACCATGGAGGGATTGTCTCGAGCAATCTGATCGTTTGGCGTTTGACTCCAATCTCATCATTGCATTGACTCAGATCTGCCGATAAGAAACGCACCATGTCCTGAAAATCACTCGAAGCTCCTCCAACTCTTTTTCGTTGAAGCTATGCTTGCAGCGGTGTTCCTGGGTTGCCTCCACATCTTGCCTCAGGGCACGGATTCAGCTGGTCAGTGCTGTAAAGTCCAACTATCCAGCCCAGCGGATTCACCTTAAAGGAAAGGCGTGATGCGGTGCCGCAAAAATCCAAAATCTCTCAGATGATCGGTCAAGGGACTGGGTCTGGAGCAACCTCATCAAGTGAATAAATGTCCAGAAGGCAATACCTGGAGAGCCAGGTTCACCAACTTCTTCGACAGTGGCACCACAATGCAATGCTTCTTTTCGCGCATCTTCCAGCAACGTCAAGAATCGGCGTTGATCTTCAACTGTTCCTGAGTTTTGGTCTTTTTTGGTCTTGGTCGGTCCCAATGTCATTGCCCTTTGACCGAACATCGGTCCTAGCACAATGAAGACTGTGGGGCTTTGTCTTAGGAGATACTTTTCCAGCAGTTTGAACTACTTTTCTACTTGGGAGTCCCAAGCACAACGTTGCAATGCACCGTCTTGCAGCCCAAGATAAGCCAACTAACCAAAGAGCAATTTGCTGATCAAGCTTCGCATACTAATATTGATGTCAGCCAACAATGGTGACAGTTCCTCTCGAGCCAGTTTGCCATTCCCATCCAAGTCATACTTTTCGAAGGATTGCCGGAAAACCTTGGCACACACCAGTGTACCAGCATGTGACATCATGTGGCACCCACATTAAGCTCAAGAAAGTTGCAGCCACCTTCTAGCCCAACGTATTTTTGTCATTTTTGTCTGTTTATTCTGATGTTTATATATGATTATGTAAACTAAAGATTATGTAAATATTATGTAAGCGTGTTCTTAGTCCATAATCCGTCCTAATCCATACCAATCCAATGTCATTATGAAGCATCCTGAGGAACTATGATTCCTATTAGGCGGGCCCAGTTCAGCATGTTGAGGTCAGTAACGTTGACCTCATCCTCTGTGAAGCCAGCCTGCTTCCTGGTTTGCGGTATTGAAGACGTCTGCATGTAATCCATGACTTTCACGAAGTCTTCGAAGTCGATACGGCCCGTGTTGGGGACACCTGGCGGGCAGAGTGTGCGGGCAGACCTGGATAGAAACTTTCAAGCATCATTGAATAATATTGAATATCTTGATCCTGACCAGGCCTGGTAGCAACTGCCAAGACGCAAGGCAATCAGGAAAGCCCAGAATTTAGGTACAGCGTTGGTAGCTTGCAATACCAACACAATGAATTTTGCTGAATTTTGCCAATTTGCTGAAGAAACTATGGATGGGCATTGGCTTACCCTTGGAAGTTGCCTGTTTGAGGCCCTCACGGATTGCCTACATTGGAGCCTGCTTCCTTCCTACTTTTGTTGCATCGTAGAGCTGATCTTGCCATGGTACCTTTCAAGCAGGTGCCAATGACGCTGACACTGGCTCGGCGGTCAAGCTGCGTCAAAGCCTTCTTTAGCCGCTCCTGTCATGCAACTTCAAAAAGTGCGGCACGCCAGTGGATTTTCCCAAAATATTTTTTGAACAGGCTCTATTTGGGGGATGTTTACTTATCTATAATGACCAGCGACAGTGGAAGTTTCTTGATCAATGCACTACACGTGGGGGTATGACCTCAACTCAGAACCCAAAGCGGGAAGATTTTGCGTTTCTTCACCCTGCACATTTGCAATTTCATGAATGCCTCACCTTATCACCCATACCAGCGCAAACCAGCCTGCTTGATGACCAACTCATCATTGCAGTGCTGTTCGAAGACGTCCCGAATGCGGCGAACGTTGTCCTGAAAATGGGTCCCAGTCAAACTGGAGGGATATAGAAAGCACAGGGGGTTACGGACACGTCAAAACCAAAGCAACAAACCAGCCTGGTGGATTTACTGGTCCCCAATTTGCTTGTGATCGGTCGGTCCTCTCGATGAAGTCTCATAAGGCGAAGCAGCGGCACAAATCCCAGAAGTGATTCACCCTTATAGTTCACTGCTTGGAAATAGCTGTCGGCTCGGTCATGTTCGATGCTGTAACCTTAGCCATCTTGAGACCATGAACCTCAAAAGCTGCAAATCAGTCTGGAAAGTTTGAAAAGTCGGAAACCGGAAATTCAGTGAGGTAAAAACGAAAACTACAAAATCCTGAAGGAAGAAAATAGATGAAAATAGTGGGAGTTCTTATGGGGTTCCTGTATATCAAACCGATGAAAGGGTAGAGATTGCAGCCGGTGACCCATCCATCGGAGCATTGCAGCCACCTGGAGGACATCGATCTGACCTGTGCCTTCATCGAACAAGCAAAAGGCCTCGTGGATAGTGCTAAGGTCCTGCGCCAGCTGTGCCATGAACAGGCTATCATCATCTATCATCTACAGACATCCTGCTGAACACTTAAAGCCTATGCATTTGTCCAAACCATTCCAAGCCTTAAGATTTTTAGGTTGCTGAATCAAAACTCAAATAAGTTCAAATAGAGGATTCTTATGGTTCCTATGGATGCGTGAGGATTGGGTCCAGATCTTTACCGATCCATGCGCCATTGAAAACTATTGGCCAAGGCCTGGCCAGCCTGGCGCCAGATCCCAATCCTCTCCTTCCGACTAAAGCCATCCGTGCGATTGAAATCTTGGACCAGGGCCACAAAGCGCTCCAGGTCAACCTGTGCCGTGGAGTCACTGTGGAGAGTTGTAAGTTACTATTGAATATTTACTGAATCTGCTAGTGCTACTGTAGCGGCCACATTCAGCTTATTTCAGCATGTTGAGTTTGCGCTGGATCGATTCCAAAGCAGATCCATACATACATGCATGCATGCATACATGAATTACATTTACTTTACTTTTCTTTGCTTTACATTACTTTACATTACATACACTACAAACACACATACATACATTCATTACATACATTGATTACATACATACATATATGCATTACATTACATTACATCACATCATATCACATTACATAACGTACATTACCTTCATACATACAAAATCATCACATCATATCACATTACATAACGTACATTACCTTCATACATACAAAATTACTTACGTACATCACTACTTACAAACATGATTAATTACATGCATAATTAATTACATACATAGTTTATATATTTATTGCACACATAATAATTAGTTACATACATAATTACATAATTACATACATAATTAATTGCATACGTTATTGATTACATTAATTACACACATATATATAATTATATACATGCATACGTACAAAACATGACATAACATAACATTGCGTTGCATTGCTTTGTTCTTGTTACATACATTACACACACTACATACACACATTCCCTGCCTGCATACATACATACATGCATGCATGCATACAAACATAGCAAAATAGCATAGAAAAATACAAGCCCACACACACACACACACGCACATGCACGCCTGCAAATGTACAAACATATATGCATACATATATGCATACATACATACATACAAACGAACTTGCGCACAAACATGCATACATAACATACTAACAGACATACTAAAATACATACTAACATCCATCCATCCGTCCATCCATCCATTCCATGCATGCATGCACCCATACACATACACATACATATGCATATGCATATGCATATACATAAACATATGCATATACATATACATATACACATACATATACATCTACATATACATATATAATCATATATATATAATCATATATACATATGCATAAGGAAGAAAGCGCTGGATCAATGCGATTTAATGGGGCAAGGGGATGGAACTGACATCACACATGATCTTGCATTTTGTCGCAAAAAGGAGCCTTTTGAGCCGAAGACAAGGAGTAATGAGAGGAGTATGTTCAAAGGGCTCTTTTTTTGGATGACAGGGGCCCATGATGAAAGACCCAACCATTCAACCAAAGCATCAGGACCCCGCAGCCTGCTCCTCCTGCATATTGTTCCTTTCCAGCAAATCATCGATGTCTACCTGCAAAGGCATGTAGCCAAAGTGCTGCAACAGTCTTCCCAAGTCACCTCAAGACAACAAGATATGCTGACATGGGCACGGGTCGAAGTTGGATACCACTCAGATTGCTCATGTAATACAAACAAGAGCCTAAGTTGTGTATTATGGATGTGGCCCAACAAAGGCTCTTAGCCTGTGGAAATCCCTTGCACTGCTTTTCACTTTCTTGCGACAAAAATTGGCAAGGTTTATTATATATATATATATATACACAGGCACACACCATTGAAGCAACTGAATGCTCCAAACACCTACCAACACTGTCATTTTGTTCTCCCAAACATTTCCCCCGCAACTACGACCTCACAAGCATATCATTGATGGAACTATGCATTTGCATGATTGTTGCACAGGATGGTATTTTTACCTTGCAATTCCAAGGTGGTTCCAATGAATAGGACCATCATTATTGAATGGGCACGGCTTGGCGTTACCGATGCGATATTTGCCACATTGACGGACCAGCAGTTTGAACGAAGGCAATGCATGTACATATGGCACTACCGGGAGGAATCGCACACGCACCGACACAGACACACATAGGCATGCATATGTATATGCATATGCACATGATTGATCATGATTGCACATCCATCTCTCTCTCTCTCTCTCTCCCTCTCCCTCTCCCTCTCCCTCCCCCTCCCTCCCTCCCTCCCTCTCTCTCTCTCTATCTCTCTCTCTCTCTATCTCTCTCTCTCTCTTCTCTGTCTCTGTCTCTGTCTTTCTTTCTATCTCTCTCTCTCTCTCTCTCGCTCCCCCCTCCCTCCCTCCCTCTCTCCCTCCCTCCCTTCCTCTACTTGCGAACAGCACCTGGATGTTGGTGGCCCCCGGTTGACCCTTGAAATGCATGTAAACAAAGGCTCTGCAGAGACAAGCTTCCTTGTTTCAAGCAACCTGTTGGCGTTGAGATCTTCTCGAAGATTCTTCGGTACTCCTTCAGTAAATCTCAGTGCGACCCGCCAGCGTGTCAGGTTGTGAAAAAAATATTGAATTTCTGGAAACATGCTGGTGAAATGCCTGGCCCGATGTTCCTGAGCATGATTGCTGCAATTTTTGAGGACGTATTCTACGAAAATAAACAGAACCTTCCAAACGGTGGGCTGTGTTCAAACCCTCCTTACAAATCAAATCAATGATATTTTACTTGCCGAAGCCTTTTTGACACCTGGAGGAGGTGGCCCACCCTGCGCCACTCCTCGATCTCAGCTTCTCTCAAACGTCGAGCCACCAAAAGAAACTCTCGAAACTTCATACCTGCAGTCGTACTACGGGACCATTAGTTGACGGGGGGGGTGAACACGCCTAACTACCGACTGCGTATATTTTTTGGGTGGGAAAACCAGGCTGCCATGGTCAACTGACCCATACCCATATGGGCAATAGACAACCTGGAATCATTACCCTCCACTTGTTGATGTCCGAGGGAATGAGGGAGCGGGGGGTGCGTTTGCTATTCATTAATACTTGGAATTTTCACTTTTGATGAGAATCAAGGGAGGCAATGCTGCCCAGCTGAACGATAATGGAGGCAGCATATAGTATACATAGATCATAGAGGCATAATTAGCCTGGATTAAATTTTGGGCATGGCCTTTGACAAGAACGCCTGATAATAGCCAGGAATGTAGTGCAAATTACTAAATCTTGCACGGATCCGACCAATAGATCTGCATTGCAACTACTTTGGTTCGACTCTGTCTACGTACGTAGATATGTCAGCCAGCTTGGACCTACTTTGTTTCGGCACCTGCAGGTTCCAAAAAATATCAGTCTGAGGCTGGTACCCTGCTCTTCTGGCTTCTGACCACCGCCATCTCGCAAAGCACGTTTGGCGACCTTTTCCTCCTTCTTTTTCTCCTCAGCCCATGATGCAAGAAAATCCAGCATCTCTTCAGGGATGAGAATAACCTACAAGCCGTACGGCTGCAGAAAATACATTGGCAAACCATCACAAGCACCTGGGGCAAGGTAGATCCTCCTTATTGATCCTGAATTTTCCCGAGCTTCCATTTGACGGATCACGCGATTCACAATCTTGGCCGCGAAGTCAGCAGACTGCGGGCCAAACCTCAGCGAGAGACAGCAGCAAGACCAGCATGAATGGCCACTTCCCAAAGCGGGAAACTTCACTAAATTTGACTAAATTTGAGACTTACATGAATTACATACTTCATCATACTTCCACAAACATATAGAATCAAACGCGTAGAATCATGCTTGTACATCATGTCTCTTGTCGCCCTCCGTATTGTGGAAGACTAGCAGCAGTAAAAGCATTGCCCCAACCAATCAGGAACTTTATGAGCATTGCGGGTACAGGTGTTCTGGAGGTGTTCTGAGATTCATCCGAGTGACACATCCATGAGAGCATCGCGCAGGCGCGCTGCTGGTATCTCCCGCAGGTGCGTGTTCGCAGAGGTTGCTGAGTTTGCGTTGGCGGCCACTGGGTGGGAAGAGGTCAAAGCAAACTGCCAAAAAACGGAGTAAAGGTCCTTGACTTCGTGTCCTCAGATCGACACGGATGGTTTCGGAGGACGATTCAAAACAAGCTGTCGAAAGGGATCTTTCCGGGCTTCCTGATCAAAACAGAAAATGGTGTCGCGATGCATAGCCATTTAAGAATGGAGTCGCCGTTTGTGGCTTCAGCGCCTTGTGTATCAACTCAAGCGCAAAAATGTCCTGACACAAATCTGATTTGACGGTCAACCTCAAGGCAGCTCCTGTAACAAGGCTTTCGCCCAAAAAAACGCAGAACAACATGTTCGCTACTGCAGCTATCGTGCCACTCTGCAAATCCACATTGCTGCCAAGTCACGTGTAAATCCTTCTGTCTTCATGTATATAGTCAGCAAGTGGACAAACTCATGAAACTCCACTGTCCCTGTGCAGTCTTCATCCACAACAGCGATGGCAGATTCCTTTGGTGTCGGTCCCACAATAGGGTGCGTTGCTGCTGTTTAGTGTCGTGCTGTTTTTAGCTCTTTTCCCTACGTCTCAGCATCACGGCTTATAAGATGTTCATAATTTATCACAATTTACGGTACAACAGGAATTCTTGAGTAAAATAGTGCTGTGTTTAATTGCATTTCCTTTCCAGACACAACATAGCGCACATTGTTGCGGTGGTAACGAATGATAATCCTACCACGTTTTCAGATACCCCCCAAATATGAAACCACTGGAAATGTGTGTAGGGCAACCACTACTGGGCAGCTGAGCCCAAAAAAGAAAAGAATGACATGGAACATAAATCACACTTTGCGTAACAAGATCATGTCTTTTGACGTAGCTTCCACTGTGGACCTGAAGGGAGTGATGTTGAAGGAACACATGACCTGCTCAATTTCTTCGGTGTCCAGTGAGCCAGATCCGTCTTCGTCAAACGCTCTGAAGACTCGTTGCACTTCAGAGCGCTCATATGAAGTATATGCCTCAAAGCAGTGAGTTGCTCTTAGAGGTCATGGTGAGGGGGCAATCAATGCAAATCAAATCCAGTCAAACGTATCAAAATATCAGCAGGATTCAGCAGGAGCCAAGATGCACGCATGAAGCGCATGTACTCCTCATAATCTAAGGTGCTAAACTTTGTCAACTTCTGTGTAGTCTCTGCAATCTCCTGACAGGGAGGGATGTCCTGAACCCTTGAAGCACTGCAGCACGTTGCTAGAGAGAACCAGTCTGACTCAGCCAGTGGCATCAGTGATTATCAGTGATTATCAGTGATTATCAGTGATTATCAGTGAGTATCAGTGATTCTCAGTGATTATCAGTGATTATAAGTGATTCACGTAAATTTCAAATTGATAGTGAGAAAATAGCTGCGCGATGCTGCGCGCTCATTTTTGAACATGGGGCCTGCGGATCGATCTTGAGGTAACCCAAGTGGCTCAACACCTTTTCCAAGTCATCCGCGTCAATATCGGAGCTTCCGATGCTCTTAAACCTGTAGAAGGCCTCTGTGATGCCTTAGGAGTCTTCCCATGCGTTGATAAAAGTATGATAAAAGTGCCGCAAAATACTGTAAATCTCGCTTGACATTCTCCGCAATGGAAGATCCTATATACTTGGTGTCTGAAAAGGGCTTTCTTTTGTGCATTGTATTGCAGGTTGGACTCAATATGGATGAGAAAAAGTAGCAGGAAGGCCCAGTTGCGTACGAGCTCAGAATGAGGGAAAGACGCAATATCGTCAACTCTGAAACGAGTATGCATACTGGCCGCATCAGGAGGGTTCAAGATTTCCTTCCTTAGAGGCGCTCGCAGTAAAAGCAAATCAGATCCAACAAAAATCACGGGCACTTTATATACTTTATTATATACATTTTATGACATCTGAGTGGCTCGAAACGGGGGAACCAATGAATGCACAAGACTAATGAAGACTCTTAAGTAATTATCAAATCAAACCATCACCATTTGAGGGCAAATCATTCTAAGCCAGACCCAACGGAAAGAAACTCTATTGGTGCGGGGGATCTCTCTCGAACTCGAATCATGTCATTGGCACCGAGAGTCAGCTCCAACTCAGTACTGAGCTCTGTGTGACTGGGATACCGCTTCAGCAATGTTGTGACTGAAGATTTCCTGAAGGATCCTGTTCTACAGGAGTTCCTGCGTAATTCAGTACCAGCCTTCTCGGATTTCGGAGATGTGCCCATCATCATCTCTTTCCCTCAGCTCGGAGGCTTTTCTGGGAGATTCTGGAAGGATAAAGCAAAACAACGAAGCTTGGAACACATTGAACTTGAACACGTATGCCGTATGCCGGTTGCGTGACCACTTGAATACAAATCTTCACTCCTCTTTTGTCTGAAGGGTTCAATTCCAGAAGCATTTCTGTGATTTCCATTGATTTCCTTCAAATTCTTGGCTTGGACTCCTTCTTTGCTGGACATGATAACTGAAACAATTCCAGACCTGGGACTGTCCAGTGTGATCCAGGGTTTGCAAGAACCAACTTGGCCAGAACCAGCTGGAACCTGTTTAAGAGATGTTAAGATGAGCGAAGATGAGCGTAGTCAATATGAAAAACGGTGAGGCAATGTTTTCCCGGTGCTTTTTTAACGGGCACCGTAGCACAATTTCATACAATTTCACTGAGTCAAACTCTTCAAACGAACCGGAGCAACAAACCCATCCAACCCTGCAACAACCAGCTCTAAATCGGATCAGTTTCTTGCCAGTTGTGCTGCAAACACGACATCTCCAAAGCCCTTGAAGCTTTGCTCGACAGAACTCCGGCGCCGTGATTTGTTGGCTTGACCCTCCTTTGCGAGGCAACAGCATGGGTGATGTTTTTTCAGAATTTCAATCAAAGTGTGCACATTCAGCACCATCAAACTCCATAGGTCCGATGGAAAATCTCAGCTCTGGTTTCAGTTGCACACCTGAATGCCTGTCCTCTGCAGTTAACTTCTCCCCAATCTTGCGCAAGACATGAACAGCCCATAGCGACTCTTCTTTGGAGCGCACAAATGGCAACTTTCCACTCTTGCCTCAGTTTTCTGCTTCTTTGGTCTTTTGCAAGCCAGAACCGCACACTGAGCAAGATCCTCAAGAACCAACAGTTTCAACACATTCTTGACAAAGAAGTTGCCGCAGGGGTTTATTTTACTTCTCTGTACTCATTGATCCAAGGAGCTACCACCAACTTCTGAGAATTGGGAGGCATTTTTGTTCAGTGAGACTTGCCCTTGCCTTCTGTCAGCGGCCAACCTTTTTACTGCCAGCCGGTATGCCATGTCGAAGGCCTGATCAAACTTGATTGCTGGGGTCACCTCTTTCCGCGCCATCTTTCTGCACTGCTTTGCAAATGCCGAGGACGACGACTGCGCGCGAGTTGTTGCTGCAGATGCGGAGGTGGTAGGTCGAGAGCCCAGTGGTTGACTTTGCGACAAGGCTTGGGGTGCAGAGCGTCGGCGTCCATCGCGCAAGGGACTTTGGAAGAGATCTTTCTGTGAGTGGCCAAGAGCATGTGGCAAGGCCTCCAGCAGGGTTCTTGCTTTCGTCTCTCTGTCCCTGTGCTTCCCCAAAAACAATCAAACAAATACACTAGCTAGTTGAACAGTTGAACACTGACTTTAATGAACTATTTTCATCATTTCAAACCCGCTATGATCCGCGTTTTTGCTGTGGATTTCAATAGCTGCCATACCTGGTCTTGCTGTCACACCCAAACATTGGCCGACATTGGCGCACTTTCCCTGAGCCTTCTGGTGAGGCCCTGTGTTCCTTTGCAAGTGCCCAGCGCTGGCTGCACGGGGTAATGCTGGCAGTGCCATTGCTGGACAAGTCGAACAAGTCTGGCAACTGGGCACTGCCTGTGGTGGTATCAGCTAAAGAAGCTTGAGTGAACCAAACCGAAGTGTGCCTTGTCATTTCTGTGCTTGGACATCCTTTGGTGCACTTCATCCAATGAAACAGGACAACCTGAGACTATCATCTTAGTCCGCGTAACCAACACAAATTTGAACTCAACTGTTCTGTTCTGCATGAAGCAGGGTGCCAACAAACGCTTGGTGGTTTGGCAGATTTCCTCTGGTGTATTTTGACTCAAGCCTGAGGCTCTGTCCTATAGTTCCGTTTGCAAAGCTGGTGCCATTTCTTTCAAATGGACATGAGACAAACGACCTCGTTTGAGGTACTTGCTGCGTACAGAGGGTTCATGACACTGCAAACCAAGAACCTTCACACTTTTGCATAAGTGAGTCCCATTGAAAGCCAGCACATCTGAGAAAGTGACAGCATCTTGCCATGAAATCCTCATTCTTCAACATCTAATTTATACTTTCACCTAGCTCTTCAACAGTCTGCTGATTTTGCTCCGTGTAGCTTGATGGCTTGAAAACATGAAGCACATAATTTGCAATCATCCAGGCCGGTTCAGCATGTGTATCGAGTTATATACAATTTTGTGGCTGAAAACCAGGCAGCCTGTTCCGGCAGATGGTCGAAGGTGCGAGGCTTCCAATGACGGTCAGCAAAAGGAGCACCACTGGATAGAAAACCTGAACGGTTATACAACTGCAATGGCAAAGTTGAGACAACTGCCTCTGATGCGAAGGTTTACATTGATGAACATGACCAAACGCATGCAGGCAAGCAAACAGATAAAACTTAACATATAGAATTACATATATGGAATAATTTGAACAGATTTAGAATTATTTATATACAGTACACATGGCCTATTGAATGGGTCAGTGCAAGAGCTACGTTGACCGCCTAACGCACTTGCTATTCTAGGAGGAACATGAACGTCTGCTCAACATTCTCAACCTTCAAGGCCTAAGGAACACCCTTGTGCTTTTACCCACCATAGGTCCTTCAGATACTGTAACTTTTGCAGTCGAGAGGGATATACAGGGGTCTTCTCTACTTTGAATGGTCACACAAATGAAAATGAAAAGCGTTGAAGCGCAATGCGACCAAGTGGCAAAGTGAAAGGATGCTCGCTTGTTGAAGCCCTCTTGGGCCCAAACAGTTGGCAAAATCTTCCACTTGTAGTCAACAACGTACATACCTGGGTGCTAGATGCAATGGAGGGGCTGGTCTAAAACAACCAAAGATGGCAACCTGGCTCGGCAATGAGAACTTATTGAGATCCAAAACCCGTTGTTTCTGGTAGGTGCCTTGTCAAATTTATCAATCAGTGCAAGCTGAAGTGCCAAAGATCAGAATCCATAACGTTGTCAGGGTAGCGGCCCGAGCGAAAAAAAACTCTGGCGTGACGCGACAGCGCGGGTCCACATTGAGAATGAACATGTGATTCACGTCGGACCTCGCGCAATTCACAGATGATTTCGTTGAGCTTAATAATGTCTTAATGACACACACACACGCACAAACAATCTTTCTGATCATTCTACGCAGGCTACGTCTACACGCCACATCATGCGTCTGAATGGCGTCTCCTATAATTACTAGTCACTTGTCAAGTCACGACTCACAAATCTTGGCAACAGTGCCCATGCACCACAAGATCAGCAGAAAGGAAAAGACCTCGGCAGTGCTGAAGGCTCAGACTTCATGCGGCCTTAAGAGTTGGCTTACAAACCCCGTAACACAGCGCGTACAAAATTTGCAAAAATGTTTGTTCAAACGTTACTGAGATGGGCACAACTCGAAACACAGGAATTGGCGTCAGGAAATACGCCTGTAGAGCAAACGTGCCAGTGCCAGTGTTCAGCACTCTAATCACTCTAATAAAATCATATAAAATCTATCGAAGGTAAGAAACACCATCCCCAGCCCACAAGGTATTTGGATGAGAGTATTGGCAACCTCAACAATGAAACGAGAAATGCTGTACCAGTTACTTGATTCCACTGCGGGTCAAAATTCGAGACCCATGGGATCCCATGGGCATCGCTGACTTCAGAACTTTCATGGACCTTCCGAAGTGAACTCAGTGAACCATTGAAATTCATTGAAGCCTTTAGGGCGAAGCATCCATTGGTGTGACCTCCTTCAATTTCAATGGCATGACACCACTGGAACTACCGGAACCCACCTCTGAAAAGGTCTTGGGACCTTGGCTATCCAAGCATACCACGATGCCGCAAGGCCCAAATCACCAAGTCAAAGTAACGTGGCAATGGGACATTACTTCGTCATGAGAAATTATAAAACAAATGAAGAATCCGAGGAATGAGGATTTCTTGGATTTACCTGGCTGATTTTGTCGGACTGTCTAGCGTTTCTCATCATCTCAGCTCCTTGTTCAGACCAGGAGCCCTTGCACTGCCTTGCACAACGCCCTATGAAGCCCTATAACGGCTACTATAACGCACTTCAAACCCTTCAAACCCTTCAAACCCTCCAAGCCGAGGATCTTTTCTCCGGCAACCAAAGCAAAACACCAATCGCCAGGAACAGGGCCAATGAGCTTCCCAAGAAAAAACTGAGCACAAGCTCACCTGGCACGTGATATGGTCATGGCATGTCATGGCTTTAAATTGAGGGACCAATGGACCAATGCACCCGCAAAATTGGCCATTAGTAGTCCAGTATTCCATCCGATTTTGGGCTTGGTCATCTCGAGCCATACCTATATTTTCAAGTCATCTAATGTAACGTATAGTAAATTGGCCAAGTGGCTTCGATGCGAGGCTGGCTGCACCTGAGGATCAAATACTGTTTCGCACAATCGTTAATCGAAATCTGGTCGGACATATTGCAAATCAAGTATGAAGTTAAACGAGGCATATATGCATGCTTGATTGTTTGTCGGTTCACAAAGTTCCAGGGCTATCATGAATCTGAACACAAGTCCAAACAATCAAAATACAGGATGTCAAGTTGCATCATCTCACCTGTTGGGCGATTCAATTTTCATAAAGCTGTCAAGCTTCCGTACTGCCCACGATGCCTGTGCGGCCCAATCCAGCTATCAATCGTGCCACCTCTGGAGATGCATCCTCGGTGCGAGCGCGGCCGCAGGTCCCTTTGCACAATATTTTTCTGATGGTCAGCTTTGATTGTATCATTATCCATCTTGGCAGTGCCCTCTGCAAAAAAAACTGGCGACGAATTGTGCATATTGGATCAATCAAATTGGCATGCTCATATAGCTGTCCGAAACTCTAGTGAAACAAATCCCAAACATCTGCAGCTTGGGTTCGATATTTTCGGTCTTTGAACCTTAGCCGTTGATCTGTTGTTATCGCTGTGCCAAGCAAATCCTCTGCTGGAGTGATCTCCTATGATGGGGTGATCCACTAATCCATTTGTCCATTAGCACCCATACCCGTGATGACTTTATCATCACATCCTGTCAATTACTCCTATCCCAGATCCACCTATCTAGTGTGCGTCTCCAAGAAAGCGGCCCCACCCAGGGTTTGGTGGTAGGGAAAACTCAGTTTTGCTTGATTGCAGTATATATTGGGATATGAGGTTTGTCTCCTCACGGTTCTGTACCCTTTTTTTGTAGCTTGATGATCTCATTGATCCTTTGCTTTATTAGGGGAAGACGGTGCCCGCCCAAATTCAGAATTCATCGTTTTTTCCCTATGCCTCCTCTGTTAGTTGCCTCCCATTTCTATTGGCTTGTTATGGCTTGTTCTCCCTCCCTGTTGCGCAAGTGCCTATCCCCATAAGAAAAGGACATACCATGGAAAATGAATGTCCATCTTGACATACAGTTTCCCACATACAAACAAACAAAAACGTATAGTAGATGCGTAGATAATATCATATACATATACACACACACACGTACACAAACAAACACACACGCACACAGGCACACACGCACACACACATAGAGTGACGAACAATTACTTAGAACGTATTTTGGAAAAATGTTCATCAGAGCAGGTAGGACGCTCTAAGTGTTACTTTTAGAACGTAAGAAATTCATCACTTAGAACGTGGAGGGACCAAAAATTCATCACTTAGAACGTACCCGAAATTTAACACTTAGAATGTGTCCGTGTCTAGTATTTACTTAATATATACTTAATATTTATATAAATGTATGAATATGTATGTATATACTGTTATTTATTCATACACATGCGACGGACAATTGTTTGGAACGTCCTACCAGTAAGTGTTGAAAATATGCCTACGTTCTAAGTGTTGATTTATGCCTACGTCCTAAGTAGAAAACATGGAAAAATACGTGCTAAGTAATTGTCCGTCGCTATATAAATATATATACACATTATTATAACACACACACACACATCTCTCCCTCTCTATGTATAAATGCACATCACACACACACACATCGGTATATAAATATATAACCGTGTATAACACATCACCCTTACTCCCAAAATCTCCCAAACACATGGAACATCATGGCACTTAATAGGACCTGGGCAAGTTGCTGGCGAGTGAGAGCTTCTTCAAATCACTGTCTAAGGCATCAAAGCGTGCGGTCTCGTTGAGCCTGGTGGCCTTAGAGGACTGGGTCAAAACCCTTGCTGTAACTTGTGCCGCTGGCCCTGGTAACATCAAAATGGCTGATGTAAGTGGTAACATGAAGTAACATGAAGTAACGGGATGCCAATGGATGTTCATAAAGTGGTGTCATTCGTCATGTGTTTTGACTTGTTTTGACAATTTTTGATCCATCTCCTCAGCATAATATCATTGAGTATTCAACACAGAGTGATCCCATCCAAGGTGCTTTCACCAAGCGAGGGAAAACTTCACTGAGACCCTCTTTGCTGACCAATTGCTTGTCATGCTTCCTCAGCTTGTGCTCAGTCAGTGTAGACTTCAGCTCTTAAGTTCAGAACTTCAAAGTCGAGATGCATTTTGCAAGGAC